TTTTTTTTGCTTTTTTATGAATCCTTGAGATTTCAGAGTTAGGCTGTAAGGTACATCATAAGCATAGTCTCTCATTCATTAGATCTCTTTTCTTTTAGCCAAAAACAGGACCTAATAGCGATGGCCTCCAACCTACTAGCGTTGGCCTCCAACCTGATGTAACTAGGATACATAAATGATCTTGGAAGGCACTTATGGTTGTTTTTCCACTCTGTTGGTCCGAAGCCAAGGTGTGGCGGCAGAAGTTCAACTACCTCTTCCGGAAGATGCTGGTCTGGAGAGATTCTTCGCGTCCGATGCACTTGAGCAAAGGGCATCGCTACTAGGAACAAGAACGCTACTAGTTTGCATATTTAAGTTTTCCTAAACATCTAGGAGCCAAATCATGAGTGCGAGCGCTATCCTGCGTCCAGCTACTAGAAGCTCACTAGTCGCCCGGAGCTTACTCCCTTACTTAATTAAGTAGGCGCCTACTTAGGGCCTCGGGCGGCCTGGGGCTTTACACCAAAACGAGATGCTTCGCACCTGTATGAATCCATCCCTCAAGTCTCTCTTCGAGAGGCCGGAGTCGACAATGAGCTGATCAACGACCGGAAGAATCGCAGGCGTTTTGGGCGATGTTACGTTTCTATGGCCTCCAGCGTCTTCTTAAAGCCGCAGCGTCAGACAGCTGATCGAACTCACGTATAGACATGTGAACATATTTTGGATCCTGAGCTCAATCGCAGAATCTCCTCCTATCCTTGCTCGCAAGAATGCATTGGAAAAGCTACAAAGACTGGGACCAAGAGACATCAAGGTCAAGGGCCTCCTTGGATTTTCCTGACGTCGCAGGTTGTCTCTACAGCAGCAACGAGGCTTGTTGTGCAGTCTGTTTCCACGGAGCTGCAGTAGAATATCAAAGCTGCCAGTGAAGCATGTTTTGAACATGTGGTCTCTACAGTCCTACCTGAGGTACAGGTGCTGACCGTGAGAGAAACCCAAATGGGGCGAATGAGAGAAACCACTGCAAATGCGTGCAGATGAGGCCGGGAGGAGGAAGACGCTGAGGCTCGACGTCGGGCTCTGAGCGCCAATTAGCAACAGCAAAAGCTGGAGAATTCAACCTACTAGCGATGGCCTCCTCCCTAGGATTTTGTTTGCTAGTAGTAACAGGTGCCACGCTACTAGTAACAGGTGCCTTACTGGTAGTAACAATGTTTGCTAGTAGTAACAGGTGCCTTACTGGTACAATGGCCTCCCTAGAGAATTCAGAGAGCACAGCATAGGAGTGATTTTTGCACAGAGACAGAGACACAGAGACAGAGAGAGTCAGCCACGCAGCTGTTAGCTAAGGTCAACGAGTGGCTGCAGGAGTTGTAGTTTTGTTCTTCTGAGAGCTTGAACTGAAGGAAGACGAATCATCGGGGATTGGAAAGTCATCCCAGAAGTGACAGCAACCGAAAGGAATAGAAGGCCCAAAGAAAGAAAGATCCAAAGTTCTAAATGTCGAATCAGAGAATCACAAGAAATCACAAGAAATCACAAGAAAGCATAAAACACAGCCGACATGCCCCACTCTATGCGTGAGATGAAGTGACTCCAGGACTCCAGGAAACCGTCGAGCGCGATCTGACCAAGCTTCGGAGGGCTTCAGGCGAGGCTTTGTTTCAGTTGTTCATTCAAGATAGGCCTCCAAGCTACTTGTTTCTAATAGCTTCTTGTTACTACTAGTAAGGCACCTGTTACTAGAAGCGATGCACTTGTTCCTAGTAGCTTATTGTTTCTATCAAAAGCCTCCAACCTACTAGCAATGTCCTCCAACCTAAGAGCGATGGCCTCATGTTGAAGTTTAGCTTCTTGCATCGATGGACGATGCAAGAGCATCTGCGTGTGCACAGCAGAATGCCCCAGTAAAATGCCCAATGCGACCATGATCTCCGCATCTGACCATCTCGTCAGGTGCCGGGTCTCTGGACATGGCGCGAATCGCGCAGATAGCCATGGCCCAGCGCGCACCTCAGCCTTGGCTCGTCTCGCGGTGGCGTGGCTCTCCATGAAGTCGTCTTCATTCTTAAAACTCGTTTTCATTAGGATTCATTAGGCCTTTATATGATATGTACCTTTTCTCTTTTTTGTCTTCCAAGTCTACAAACATTGAATCATGTTTAACGTGATTCCGAACAGTCGAGTTGGAGGAAACTTCAAAGACAAATCATTCATCAACGGACGAAGCCCGGGACAGACATTTGGTGAACATCAGCGCTTTACCGAGGGAAGTGGAAACAGGCGGGGAACTTCTCAGCTTCGTTGAACCAGACTTGTACAAAAAGAGACGCTACTAGGAGCAAAGGGCATCGCTACTAGGAGCAAGGACCTACTAGTAACAAGAAGCTAGTAGTAACAAGTGCATCGCTAGTAGTAACAGGTGCCTTACTAGTAGTAACAAGAAGCTTCTAGTAACAAGTGCATCGCTTCTAGTAACAGGTGCCTTACTAGTAGTAACAAGAATGCTATTTGGAGCCTTTGCACCTCAAAACTGTGCCACCGACTGCAGAAGACGCCGACGCTGGCGAGACCGAAACGGAGGAGGTGGGCCTTTGTGTGGGCCATCTCTTTTACTTGAAAAAGGGAGGAAGCTACTAGGAACAAGTGCATCGCTACTAGGAACAAGTGCATCGCTAC